GGAGAAAGAGAGGAAGGAAGGGGGAAAATATGAAAAGGAAGGAAATGAAAATGATAAGGAAGGAAGGAGGGAGGGAGGCAGGAAAAAATGAAAGGAAGGAAATGAAAAAGAAAAGGGAGGGAGAAAGAGAGGAAGGAAGGGGGAAAATATGAAAAGGAAGGAAATGAAAATGATAAGGAAGGAAGGAGGGAGGGAGGAGGAAAAAATGAAAGGAAGGAAATGAAAAAGAAAAGGGAGGGAGAAAGAGAGGAAGGAAGGGGGAAAATATGAAAAGGAAGGAAATGAAAATGATAAGGAAGGAAGGAGGGAGGGAGGCAGGAAAAAATGAAAGGAAGGAAATGAAAAAGAAAAGGGAGGGAGAAAGAGAGGAAGGAAGGGGGAAAATATGAAAAGGAAGGAAATGAAAATGATAAGGAAGGAAGGAGGGAGGGAGGCAGGAAAAAATGAAAGGAAGGAAATGAAAAAGAAAAGGAAGGAAAGAAGGGAGCGAGGGAGGGATGAAGGACGAAAGGAGGAAGGAAGGGGGAAATGAAAAGGAAGGAAATGAAAATGATAAGGAAGGAAGGAGTGGAGTTTGCAGGAGGCCATTAGTTCATTCCAGGATTGCGGTGTCTGAAAGATATCGGCCCCTCTCCAAGCCTGATAAAAGTGGGTAATTGTGAATTATCTTGAAAGACAGTGGGAGAGGAAAGACTTTGCTGGAGAGGAATTCACTGTCAATTAAATAAAAGGGGTTTATCGGGACGAGGGCTGGGCTTCGTGCTGCTGGGGAAGCCTCGGTCAGAAGTCATGTTTTCATCAGCTACAATCCATCACCCCACGGCGTGGGTTTGGTGGCCCCGTTTGGCCACGTTGCAAGAGTGGCCAGGATCTTGGCTACCTGCCATCCTAAAGAAGGACGTTACCTTCTGGGAAATGTGGCATTGCGTCCCTCCTATCTTCAAGCATGCTCTGATCTTCTCCTCTCAATCCTGTCTCCCAATCCAAAGGAACACACTTCAAAGGGCTCCTGTGTTTGTTGATCAGTTCCCAGTAATAGTTGTCAAGAGGGCCTGAGGGAAATTGCCATAAAAAAACAAGAAGAAAATGGTTTTCTTAACAGAATAATGGAGTCGGAAGGGGCCTTTGGAGGTCTTCTAGTCCAACCCCCTGCTCAGGCAGGAGACCCTACACCATTTCAGACAAAGGGTGGACCAATTTCTCCCGAGGCCTCAAATTAGCCCGAATAAGAGTGTGATAAAATGAATTGCGATTACTTACACTGTTGATTTTCTTCAAAATATTTCAGCGAGAATCTTTGATTAGTTATTCCATTTTGGATATTAGCACGTTTGTGATAGTACAACTCAATTTTCTCTGAAATTTCTTTGTTGGAGAATGGATGAGAAAACTGGAAGGAGGGAAAATAGTCTATTTAGTTCACACAGTTGGCAGTTAAAAAAATAATAATTGTATGTGTTGTTGGGGGAATACTGGCATTTTTAAAAGAAAAATGGTTCATGAACAGCTAGATAGAAGGACAGTTTCTCCCCCCCCCATGCCATCACTCTGCTAAACAATTAATTCCCATAACACTGTCAGAATATGTAATTAGATTGTGTTACTATTCTTCTTCTTCTTCTTCTTCTTCTTCTTCTTCTTCTTCTTCTTCTTCTTCTTCTT